AACTTAAAAATATTAATTGCTATCTCTCTTTACCTAAATAAATAATCCATTGTTCTTGAAACTTTATTGTGTTTTTGTTTGTTTGTTTCAGATCTCATTTGAATGATAAACTAAGGGAACCAAGCATTTTTTTTTAAAAAAATGTCTGTGGTTTTTGTATGTGAACTATCACACAACTGATTCTTTTCTTACAATGTAGTGAGTCATAATACGCTTTTAAAGTTAAGCATGAAAACACACTGGACTGTATTGTTTAAAATATTATGAGAGATCTTGAACTTGCTTTGATCAATGGTTCCTTGAATAAGTTCTCTGTTCAAGTCGGATGACAGAATTTGACACTTTGGATTGTTTTAACTTTAATATATATCATTGCCCTCTGAACTTTGTTAGGTTATTTTGCTTGCTTATGGAATAGGAAGATCATAGTGAACACTTGTTCTAAAGTACTGTACTAAAGAATTCTACACTTTCATTTTTTAACGTTCTTAAGCTGAGCCTAAATACCATTGTGTTCAGTTCATGCATGATATTTATGTTCACATATCAAGTCAGCACAGTTACATGAGCACCCACACTGTGGGATAGCTTTTAAAGCTTCAAAGGGATGCACGATGCTGAACTCATAAATGTGAGGAAGGAAGGATAATATCTAATAATAATATCCTCTCCTAACATCTGTTCACATCCTTACACACGCCCTTGAAGGTTGTCCCCATCTTGTGGAATTCTGAAATCTAATCTAATCTATGCATGGTCAGGACGGGTCACGCAAGGAACTCCCTGCCTAACGCTGGGATCAATGTTGCCCTTTTACTTGCACAGTAATGTTGATATAGAACAGTGATGGCCAACATTGTGCCTGTGAGTGTCGGTACTTCCTAGGGTGCCAGAGAAATATCTCAGCAAATCCACAGTACACAAAAGACTGGTGGTGGTTTTTTTTGTTTTGCTCCACTCCTGACTCTGAGTTGTGATGCTCCTGCATTAAACTTGTCCACATTGGTCTCTTCTACTCTGAATAGAGATTAGCTGTAAAGTGTTGTGGAGCAGTGAGCAATGCCTTTTCTCCACTGATGTGGGGACAATCCAACACCATTTTGTAGTCCTGCCTCTCTTTCAGATGTGGCAGTTATTGTGTTAGGCCACAGACCTCATGGCAGCCATTTTGTGACTGGTGCCCGCGGCGCTCTCTCAAAATTCCAGATGTGTCCACTGACCGTAAAGTTTGCCGACCCAGATATCAACCTGCTATTGAATAAGACTCAAGAAAGATGACTTTGGTTACTACTCTGACAAAACAGAAAATAAAAGGAAGGATGATGAGGGACACTGTACCTCTGAAAAAAATAATAGAGTGTAGAACTATCTCCACTGCTTAACTTAATGGAGGCTATAGTGTGCATCACAGTGGCAATCAGATTGTCTGTAGTCTAGATATTCCAAGCAGTGGTCTTCAATGAAGATTCAACAGAATATAAATTGGAGTTGTTCTAGAGACAAAGAAACATAAATATCTCTCCAAAATACCCCCAAACCCAACAGATTCATAAGTTCCTCTTTATTTTATTTATACAGACTTAAATCATTGTGTAAGTTTGAAAGAGAATAAATTAATACAGAGGATAGAAAGCATTGCCTTCCCAAGTGTGACCTTCAGTAAAGTTTTCATTTATAGATATGTTGGCTTCCTGAGCATGTCATCATTAGAGGTGACCTGTTCATCCATGGAATTGAATATTAGCACCTTCTACCTTTAGTCAGAAAGGTGAAAAACATAAAATTTAATATAAGAGAAAGTGACTTACTGTAGCGCTTCATTAAAATGTGGCAGTTCCCAGTCCCGTGCTTGCCACACATCTACTAAGCAGTGAGGAGATTTGAGCAGGGATCCTCTGCAGTTTCCCCATTCTGGATTTTCCCTAGCTAAGGACTCCACCATCTGCTCATCAAATGAAGAAAAGCAGATTGGGACGGGGGGTCGCAGGCAAGAAGTGGTGGCAGACAAGAAAAGGGTTCCCCATCTTTTTCCACCAAGTGCAACTCCCCAGCAAGTTTATCCATTGCTTCCATTTTGCACTCACGTCCCTTTTAATTTGATCTTACAGTGGGCCTATATGCAGGGATTCTCAAGCGGATCTTAATGTCAAGGCAGAATGGTCTATATGTGCATGCTTGCAGATCTACCTTTACCAGCAGCCAATGCAGCTGGTAAAAAAGCAGGTCAGAATGTACATGGACTTGTCTCTGCACCAAGTTGCACTCAGTGGAATGTCTATTCACTTGTAACTATGCACCACTAGAGGAACCCACAGTATAAACAACTGAAATAAAATTTTTGAAACTCTGCAACTGACACTTTCAAAGACTTGCCTGCCCACCTCCTCTGCCCCTCTCTCCCAAGTTGCAATTTTGCTTGTTTATCAAAGCAAGTCTCAAAAATGGAATGGAAATCGTGGTACATTCTGATGAAGCATGGACGTACCAGCCTGATGCTATATTGAGGTTATGTTTGTGACCCAACTTTCAGGGGTTACAATGCCCACAGCACAGATGTCTGGATATTGGAGAGTGTTGTTGATATTGGAGAGTGTGCTGAAAAAAGGGGAAGAGATTCTGGGGAAATAAATGCAAAGTTTGGTATAATCCTGGCAGTAATCCCCCCCCCCAGCTTAGATTTCAGTCAGCCAATGTTTATAGGGGGGGCGGGACTACTTGAATAACCCTTTGCAAAAAAGTTGTCTGTAAACTTTGTCTGGAATGCTGATCTGAGGAAATTAAAGCTTTGCTTCCCTGTGATGTTTGACACCTATTAACTTCTGTATAGCTTGACAAGATGCCAGTAGAAAGGCATCAGTTGTGCACAAATCCATATCTGAATTTTATTCCAAAAGCAGTAATCTGTTTTTCGTCTTTGGGGAGTTGTTCCCTGCTGTGATTAGGAAACAGAGTATAATTCCTACCATATATGATTACTAGATCTTGCAATAAGATACCATAATTATTGCCACATCTTCATATCCATTATTTGTATCTCACATTTTCATTCCATCCTTCCTCCAAACAGCTCACAACAATACACATGCATGGAGGTTGCACTTATTCTGACCTCACAAAAATCCTGTGGAGGAGACTAGGCTGAAAGCATGTGACTGGCCCAGGTCAACCACTCAGCTTGATGGTAAATAGGGATTTGAACCCAGATTTTCCTAAGCCATGGACACAGTGACTCTTATATTTGTGACAAATTGAAAATAAATATTGGTGGGAGCAGCTGCTGATGGAAGCTCTGTTTAGGCAAGTACTACTCTTGTGAATTATCCCCATAAGATATATAACAAAGGGATCTGTGGTTTTAACAGCATTATTCCATGGAGGGGAAAAAACATATAAGCACAGCTGGAGCATGGTATTAATCTACACAACACAGGCATATTGAATTCAGAAGAGCAGACTCGTTTCTGTGTATGTCAAATGGATTTCCTTTAAAACAGTGTACTATTGCAGCTGTCCATTTCAGAGGCAGCAGTACAGAATGTAGGATTCAGATTTCCTCCTTGGGCGATTGACTCACAGCTGACGCCCCTTGCATAAAATGCTGAGAGAAGACAGTGCTTAATTGTACCATTTTGTGGGAGAGTTTGGGTGGTCATATTTTGACTTAGTAAGTTGACATATGAAGAAGCCTCCTTGCTGTATATGCAGCACCCATGTGTGAAGGGGTAAACCAACTAGCCAGGAAATCTTCTTTTATCTTTTAACTAGAGTTTCTTGTTTTGTCTGAACCAGGAAACTATGGTTAACAGCTTTGCAATGAATAGACCTCAAACCATGTTTGAATATTCTGACTTGTTCTGAAGTTGCTGGCCATAATTCCCTGGTTTATAGTTAATGGAGGACCTCCTGTTTGCTTGCTCACTTGTTCAAAGGGAAAAGCAAAGAAGCTTTGTGTGCAGCTGAAAGACTTGTTCATATTTCAGCTTATTATGTCATGCTCTAATAGTCCAAACATGGTCAGTGAAAAGCATGAAGCAAAGTATTAACTGTTTTTCAGAGCAGTCTGGGTGTACTCATCACTGCTCATAAAAACAGACTAACTTTTGCCTGCAAATGCTACCTTCCTGGTGTAAAACTTCTTGCTAACATCTCTTCTGAAGTGCCAGATAATGACGTACTTTCACACTTGGGCATAGCTCATTCCCACTTCATGTGGTTGATGGAGAGAAGCGCATCCTTGTTTTAACTTGTGTTAAAATTGTGTTGGCTTAGCTATGCTTGAGCAGCTCTGGAAACTGTATCCCATGGTGCCATTGTTGCCAATGGAATTGTGGGTGGAGCCATGTCACACTTCGGGCCCATCCATACTTTTGCTTAATGTGGATTGTCCCTACATTAATTCTGGATGAACCTCTAACTTCGCACAACCCAGATTTTCACTACGGGACAATAACATCTGGAAAGGAGGGAAAGTACTGTCACATATCACTTAAGTGTTAGGTGCAGGTTTTTGATGAGTGATTTTTTTTTGTACTGAACCCTACTGAAATCTTGTAGTAGTAGTAGTAGTAGTAGTAGTAGTAGTAGTAATATAATACTCTGCCCATCTGACTGGGTTGCCCCAGCCACCCTGAGCAGCTTCCAACAAATATAAAAACATAATAAACATCAAACATTGAAAACTTTCCTTTACAAGGCTGCCTTAAGATGGTACATATGCCAATAAAGATTTGAGAATATGAGTAAGAGATGTAATCAGTGCTTTGTTTCTGGGGGATACACAGTTCCTATCCCCCCAAAGGTTTAAAGTGTGGCACTTAATGTAATAACTTCATTTTGAGTACTGGCACTTTTTTTTAAGTTGTAGTCCTTTAAAATGTTGCAGTAGACTCATGAGATGAATGTTACTGAACTGTGGCTTCTATCCATTCCATGTAATCTGTAGAGGGCACCTAACTAATCTTCGCTGTGATCTGGCAACAACTATTCCACCAGGCTATTGCAGATGGAGAGATGGGACTACAGGGTCTCCACATTGACTCGGCTAGCAACTTTTAGAGCCTCTACTCCTTGAATTCTCCCCATTATAAAAACTCTGTAACTAGGAACTACTGCTTGAGTTTGCTTTCCCCTCGTCTCCTTCCCAGTCACTTTGCCTTTTGTTTGTGCCTTCCAAGATTATGTCTGATTCTTGATTTTTGTAAGATGCTTTGAGGACTTTTTTTTTTTCCTTCAGAAGAGTGGAGGCAAAATGCTTTAAATATGTTGGCTGTTAACTTGAGCAATAATATGTCAATTGGTTAGTTAAGTACATCTACTACTTACTGGCATGTCTTCAGTCTTTCACAACAAGTTTAATGAATTGTAAAGGATTGTAACCCGCTCTGGAACCTCACAGTGAAGGGCAGGTATTAAAATAAGTAAATAACGTAGAATGTGAGTGGTCCTTAACATGAGTACCATGAAAATTGGCATTTTCTCAATGTGTATAATGTTAATTTCTTTTGTAAAAGTTGCTCTATATGGAAACAAACATGAACTCTGTGACCCTTTTGACGAACTTGGAATCTCTTTATTGGACATATAAGCTGTATTACATATGCTCAACATTTTTCACGTAATTACATTTGGGTATTCTGCCCATTAGGCAATTGCTCCATACCTGTTCAGACATTCTTTTCCCATCCAGTCATCTTCTCAGTTCAGAAGTGACCCATCTCATAGTTAAGATTAGTCCTTCATTCTCTTGACTAGTATATTCAGGAATTAGCTGGTTGCAGTTACAGCACTGCTTGATTTTTAAAAAGAAAAGTAAGCTGTGCAGTGATTATGATCTTCCTTTATTATTACATCAGATGGGCAGAGTGGTACCTTTATTGAAAATGTAAAGTCTTAATAGTGACAGTTTGTGAGGGAGAAGTCAGGGGAGGCAGAGGTAATGGGCTGAATATGAGCAAATGCAGTTATTGGTACCTAGATGCCATTTAAATCAGGGCTAAAGAGTTAAGCCAAAAGCTGGTGGGTTTTGAGTTCAGATAGAGGACAATGATGAGGCTATTAGCAGAAATTATTGGAAGGAGCATGTAAAGCTTAGCACTGGGAAATAGAGTAATTTAAGTGAGGTAGGAGGCTTGGATAGAGAAAGGTAGTATAATTATAAGAGCAAAAAGTGGGAAATGAGGACAGAAAGGTAAGGATGGAGATGGTCACGGGGAGCTTTGAAGGTAAGGACAAGAAGTGTCTGCTGAATGACAGCGTAGGGAAATCTGTGGAGGGGCATGATTTTGGCAATGCGTATTTAACGGAAGTGAAAGCAACTGAGATGAAGGGGAAATTCTAGTACTCAAATCAGTGTTGATCAGAATTTTAGTTAAAGGGGATGTGGCAAAGTGGTGTATCTACCCCTCCTCCCAATTGTTTCAGGAGAAGCATCATCCTAGCTGAATCCCAGCCTACCCCCATCCTTACCTGTAGCTGCATATTGAGCATCTAGGTGGGACTGAAATACATGCGATTTAGGAACATAGAAAGTTGCCTTATACTGAGTCACTTCATGTATTTCTCTAGATGACTATTGCCAACACTGAATGGCAGTGGCTATCCAGGGACTCAGGCAGGAGTCTTTCCCTGTCCTGGTTTGGACATGCTGAGGATTAAGCATGGATTGAATTTCTGCATGAAAATCTTGTGCTTTTCCATTAACTCATGTCTTTTTCCTTTGAGCCACAGCCCTTCCCTAACAAGCCCACCACCACCACCACCAAATCACAAGGGAGCTTTGAGAAACTTCAACTGAGGACAGAGAATACCATGGAGGAGATTATATACAGACATTTCTTATTTTAAGGTTGAAGACAGGCAGACCTAGTATCAGTGTTCGAAACTCCCATTGTTCTAAGTGCATTTTGCAACAGGGAATTTCATTAGCATGAGCACTTTCTGAGCTCTGGGCGCAGCACTGCGCCTAAGATTTCAGATTAAAAGTGCAGAGTGGAAGGAAAGGAGGACGTTTTCCTGCCTCCACACTTCCAGCTACTCTCTGAAGACTGGAGAAGAGAATATTAGGGGGGTGGGCAGGGGAAGGACTAGTCACTAGATCATGTGGGAAATGAACATATTATTTTAGTTGCAGTTCATTCATTTTCAGCTTTGTATTCTTAAAAAAAAAAATGCACCTAGACATTCTGTTCTTGTGCCCATAACCTAGGTTTAAGGTTCCATTTAGCTCCTAGCTTTCATATCTCGGTTTCTAACCCTGCCTAGTTTCTGTGGAGCCTGTCCAGTCCAGACATACACTTTGCTTTTCAGGGCTGATTGGTTTCTAGGCTGTACTCCCAGCAGTGTTGCATCGGGCTTCCAAATGAATGGGCCTGTTCACTGTTCCAGCAGCGTAGGGAAATCGTGTGCTCCCTATGTTCCAGCCTAGTAGAACATATGTCGTGTTTGCTTTTTTAAATCAGGGTTGTTTGTTTTCACAGTAGTTAAGAAGTTGACATTGGCATGAATTCCAATTCTGTAGGAGATGGAATTTAAACAAGTAAGATGAAGCAGGGTTGCTATCCAGTTCCCTAACTTACAAGAAATGATCTTTTAAAAAATCACATCTGAAATAGGAAATCTGTTGTAAGATTTGCCAGTGCATTTCCTCTTAATGTGCTGAAATACAATACTGTGGTACGACGTTTCTTGTCTTTCTGATTTTTTATTATTTGTTGAGCAGTACAATAGTATGATGAAGTTGGCTCTCTGTATAAAGATAGTAGCGATAATTGCTGCTTATATTTACAGATGTGCATTCCCCATACTATCTTTAGACAAGCCAGTAAGAAAACATCTCCCACACTTAATAACTGTTTCCCCAAAGGACCACAGGATGTGGGGCTTTCCCATAACAACAAATATCCTCATCTTCAGTTTAGCTCCTTTCTACATTGTAAAATATTTCAGTTTAAAGGCACTAGAGGAAGTTGACATTTGGCTAATATTTCCTGTCACAATCAAGATTGTGGCTTCTGGGGACCTCTGAGCCCTTGAGAGATTTAAAAAGTGCCCCCCAAATGCGAGTGTTTCTTTCTATCAGTTCAAAAGTATACTACCGTGAGTAGATAAATAGGTACCACTGGGACGGGAAAGTAAACGGCGTTTCCATGCGCTCTGGCACTCATCAGGGTGTTCTGTTGCACCAGAAACAGTTTAGTCCTGCTGGCCACATGACCTGGAAAGTTGTCTGCAGACAAACGCCGGCTCCCTCGGCCTGAAAGCGGAGATGAGCACCGCACCCCATATTTGAATTTGACTGGACTTAACCGTCCAGGCGCGGGTGGCGCTGTGGGTAAAACCTCAGTGCCTAGGACTTGCCGATCGTATGGTCGGCGGTTTGAATCCCCGCGGCGGGGTGAGCTCCCGTCGTTCGGTCCCAGCTCCTGCCCACCTAGCAGTTCGAAAGCACTCTTAAGTGCAAGTAGATAAATAGGGACCACTTTAAAGCGGGAAGGTAAACGGAGTTTCTGTGTGCTGCGCTGGTGCTGGCTCGTCAGCTGCAGCTTCGTCACGCTGGCCACGTGACCCGGAAGTGTCTTCGGACGGCGCCGGCTCACGGCCTCTAGAGCGAGATGAGCACGCAACCCTAGAGTCGGACACGACTGGCCCGTACGGGCAGGGGTACCTTTAACCGTCCAGGGGTCCTTTACTTTTACCTCTGAGATATCCAGTTGAACTTGGTAATATTTCTCATATTCCATAATAATCTCTGGACTGCTGCCATCAGGCACTTTTCCTTCAGCTTGTTTGCTTTCTCCTGCTCTTCTCCACTTCCCAACTATAGGGAAAAGCAGCTGACCCCAAGAGAACAAGGAAGCAAAATAAACCCCAGCAGAATTGATTTTCTCCTTCCTGGTAACCTATTGAACAAGAGAGAAGGGTTTTGGGATTTCGCCATACCACCCACAACCTGTTACTGATGCTTTCATAGCAGTCATCTGTTTAGCAGGTTCATCACACACAAGGGCATCCTATACTGGTTGTGGGAAGTTCTTGCTGTTCCCAATGTAGCGGCTTCCTGCCTGGATCTGGCTTCTGAAACAGAAGGGAAATTCATTTGGGGAAGTCTGTTCCATGAATTGTCCTTGATGATTGTCTTTCCACTCCCAAGCACATATATAACTTCAAGTCGCAGGGAGAGATAGAAAATCAGGAGAGTTGTATTTATAAGTAGTTTCCTATTATCTACGGGCAGCGCTCGAAGTTGGGATGTCATTCCATTTCTTTTCATATGGACCTTTAACTTGTCACACTTTTGTTCTGGTGAACATGACTGAGTCTGTCCTGATCACCCTGCTTCTCCTCCTCCCATTTCAGACACTGTTTAGGGAACCTGTGGCCCTCCAAATGTTGTTGGCTGGCAATGATGGGATTTGGAGTTCATCCACATGGTTTAAGGAGTCCTGGTTTAGGAAATGGAAAAAAGTGCCATTTCTCCACTCTTGAAAAGTTGCTGCTGCTGTTATTTATTTTTATTATTTTTATTTTATTGAATTTCTATTCCGCCCTATACCTAGAGGTCACAGAATAAAATCTCTCGTTCCACAAGTTAGGACAGCAATATAAGACGTCAGGTTGGGGGCTTGGATACTCTAAGTACGAGCCAGTTTCTTTCCGCTCTGAACTTGTAGGGGTTTCTAAAATCATATGAAATAGAAGTCTAGTAGCAAGATTTTCTGATACATTTCTTTTTAAATATTTTGATATGTAATAGGTTGCCCTGGCAGCTTCTAGTGGTTGGTTTGGAGGGAAACCATGAGTGTTAGTTCACACGTAGTGCTAAGCCAGAGCTCTGATTTGTTACTTCTTGCCTTGGCAAAAGGACTGGTGTGACAGGCATGATTTGAGCAGTGTACACTAGCAACCTGCTTGTTTGTGGTAAGCTGTGGTTTGTTTCAGACGCCTTCTGTTCTCTCTATTGTTCCATATCCCCACTTGTATCTTGCTCTGATATAATTCCGTGATCATTCCAAATTAGTACCCTGGCTTAGTTTCTTAAATCCTTATTTGTAGACGTACACATGAATTGTATTAAATTATGGCATCTGTCTAAGTGATTGCATTTTCTGAAGTGGGAAGAGTTGCACAATCCCTGACCTCACTTTAAAGTCATCAGATAGCAGTGTGAGAAGGGGGAGAACAGCAGGCAATTAGACTTGTCATCACCAAATGTGGCCGCTGCTTGTATTATCAACTGCAATAAAGATTGAAAGGACTGAGCCTTCCACCCCTAGCCTCACATCAATGCAAACATATACATAGACAGCATCTTAAAAAGTAGGGATATCACCTTGCCAACAAAGGTCCGTATAGTAAAAGCTATGGTTTTCCCAGTCATGATATATGGAAGTGAGAGCTGGAGCATAAAGAAGGCTGATCGCCGAAGAATTGATGCTTTTGAATTATGGTGCTGGAGGAGACTCTTGAGAGTCCCATGGACTGCAAGAAGATCAAACCTATCCATTCTTAAGGAAATCAGCCTTGAGTGCTCACTGGAAGGACAGATCCTGAAGCTGAGACTCCAATACTTTGGCCACCTCATGAAAAGAGAAGACTCCCTGGAAAAGACCCTGATGCTGGGAAAGATGGAGGGCACAAGAAGAAGGGGATGACAGAGGACAAGATGGTTGGATAGTGTTCTCGAAGCTACCAGCATGAGGCAGAGGAAGTGGTGGATAGACCGACATCATCTGACACATTTTCACAAGTTGCCATTGGGAAAACATAAGAGATGCCTAGGGTTCCACCTTTCTTTCCTTACCCCTCTCCCCCAAATATATTTTATGAAAGTTTTCACAATACAGTAAAATAATATCTAGTATAGAATCAAAAAGACAAAAAGGAAAGGGAAAAGAACAAGATAGAGTAAAAAGAAAAGGAGGAAGCAGAGAGATAAGGAACATTAAGAATAAGGCCTATCAATAATCAAACAGAAATATATATGTATATGTATCCTTCTGTCATCTTCAATCCACATACAAAGAAGTGAGCCTGAAGCAGCTTCCCTCTTCCTTATTCTCACATTGGGTTCCACCAGCTCATCAGGTACAAGAAAATTCTGGTTAACATTGCAACAGCAAGTTTCGATATTAATATTTGTAAATGGAATCTCTCTCTCTCTCTCTCTCTCTCTCTCTCTCAGCTTTAACATTAAAAAACAGTCCAGTTGCAAAATTTACAAAGAGGTTTCTAAGATTTACTTCTTATTAGAAAGATATATAGCAAATCCCTACTTCATTCTCCTGTGATCAGTAGAAACTATATTTCAGAGAGGGTGGGAAAATTTAAAACACTTCATTGCTTGTGTTCTTCCTTGCATTTCAATTAGTCTCTTTGTTTTATATCTGTTTTGAAGCAAGAAAGGACCTTAGTTCAACTCTGCCTTGTTCTGAAACATGCAGAGTTTTTTCATTAGCACTGCCAGTTTTTTGGATTGGCACCTAAAATGGCTTGGAATGGATGCAACTTTCTATGTCCCTTGATAGTAAGAAGTTTAGTTAGAGTTGTCTGCATGATGGGAACAAAAAGCATGTAAGGCTGTATGTGCTAAAGAAAAGTTTAAAATACATTTTAGGTCTGAAATAACTCTGTGTAATTAGATTAAAAAAATATTGGGTCAACAGCCTCTCAGTAATTTTTAGCTCAAAAATGTCCTCTTTGGCAAACAATCTGCATAGTAAAATAAAAAGAGCTAGTAAGAGGGCTGTAATTTGTCCACCACATATATTTGGGTTTAAATAGATTTCTAGGCAGCTATCCTGATCTAGTGAATTGGTGTAATTGACTGAGGACTGCAGGTAGTTATAATGAGGTTATCCCTTATCAATGTGCTTTAATTAGGGTTGTGACTTTCAAACTAAGACCTGTGCTGCATTGACTTGTCTGTTGTGGAACCCAAAGCATGTTATGGGGAGACTCTGGGGATGTTTTTAGGGCATGCACAATTCATGCACACAGGGATGCCATCAGGGTTTTCTGGGCACAGTACATCGCATGTGGATTGGGCCTTCCACCCCACCCATAGTTCTGCTGGCACAAATGGTAACTGGTTTAGCATGTTGTGTCAAGTGCTTTCCGTGTTCACTTAAGCTCCAGATTGCTTGGAAATCACAGCTTTTAAGTGTGATGTTCTTAGCAGACACATTATTTAGGTACTGTGGTATGAAATCCTGTGTCGTTAGTTTAAGCTTCACCACTACCTTGGAGCCAGTTAGCTGTCAGTGGCAGAGGAGTGGACCCAAGTCCCAGACTTGTCTGTTCACTGAAATGGACACAATGGGAGTCCATGCAGCTGAATCTACTATTTCAATTTCCAGGCATGTGGAAGATGCAGCTGTGGGAATCATGCACATGGTTTTAGCCCTGAACTGGAGATATTTGCACCATGGAAATTAGTTTGGAGTCTGTAATCGGTTATTTTCCAAGAGGAGGAGATAATGCTGGTGAACCAGTGTCAGAAGCAGGGACACTGAGCTTCAGGAACTTTCTGGTCTGTACAGTAGTGCATAACTTCCAACATGCTGCAGAGGAAAATCGGGACACACGTCTTTCGGGGTTGAGTCACATGGTGCGTGTCTTTCTCTAAGAGAACTGTAGAGTTTGGCAGGCTCCTCAGGGTCATCTTGACTAACCCCCTTGTAAGGCCAAAATTACCAACTCACTCTGGCAGGACAGGTTTCCTGGAGGCCAAGAGCACACCTTCTCTCCTTAAAGCCGGCTTCTGGTGAGGAACGCAGCCAGTCAGGAGGTAGAAAGGACAAGGTGGAGGGAGCTGGAGCCTGCTGAGGCATCTGACATGCAAGGAAACGCAGGAGCCCAGCAGCGTCCCGAGGAGTTTGGCGGTACCTGCTGGAGCGTAGCACTGCCTCCACCACCTCCAAGGGTGAGGGCTGTGGTGCCAAAATCAGGGATGTCCCAATTAAATCAGGACAGTTGATGAGTGTGGTAGTGTCCATTGTTGTATCTATTGCTGTGAGCCACTCAGGGCTGCAAAGTGGAAGAAGACAAAAGGGACAGGATTGGCCTCCTAGAAGAATGCAATTTCCCACTCTCCGATTTAGACATGTTTTCTGGTCATGACTGCTGGGCCTTTGCCTATTCAATAACCCCCTTCCCTCTCCAGCCTCTAGTCTTGTTCTTGGTGTCTTCCTCTGTTTTTATCTAATCTCCCTGCCCATCTGCTTCCTTCCCTATCTGCCTGCCTTCAGCTCCCATTCATTTTTTGTTCTGCCTTTCTCTGGTCTGGCTGTTTAGCTCAGATCCTGACCTGCAACTGCTTCCACTGCTATAACTGTTCTGTGGATCTGCTATGGCTGTTCTGTGCTTTAGCTAACCACCCCAACACTAGTACACATTTTGCTGGGATTCACACGTTGAGCTCTCATTATGCTTAGCTGCTTGTGGCCCAGTAATGGAAATCAATATTGAGATGGACTGATCTTTCCGTGTCTTGGGAATGTGTAGACTGCTGCTCTTCATGGATTTTAGGACAAGTTCATTCAGACTTTCTGGTTGCAGACAAACATTTGACTTAGGCTGAGAAACTTCACCCAAAAATATGTGTGTGAATTGTTTCTTTCTTCCAAGTAATTGTGCGTTTAGGATCAGACTAATACTAATAGACTATCGTCCATCAGGAGTAGCTGGCTGGACTGAACATCTGGTGCTAATGCCAAAAATTTTGCATTTTTGGGTACGTGGGTGGGTGGGTGTGTACACACACACACACACACACACACACACACACACACACTTTCTGCCTATGCTACTGTGCTGAGGGAAGCCAATAAATAACTTAAAATCTTAAAGAAATTTCAAATGAGGCCATCACAATGATATAAATCTAACATACTTTAAAGTAACTATCAAGCCATGATCCCATGTATGAACTGGGCTAGATCCATATGTATCATTTTGAAAGGTAGTGCTGTATTTGTGAAACCAGCTATGCCTAAACCATGTTCCACTGTCTATCATCTTGTTTCTAGTGCCTAAAGATGCAAAAAAAACCATGTTGCTTTCCTGGATGAAATTAATATTTTCCTTGAAGGATGCATAGGAGACACTCTGTGCTAGAAATGGATACAGCCTTACTATATTCTGTTTTAGTGCCGAGAAACTGATGGGGAACTTCGGAATGAAATTTGGCAGTTTGCCTGGATATATTCAGTTCTTAACAAGTACCGCTTTGTGCGTTGGCACCCCCATGCTTCCCACCCCCCCAACTTTGGTAGCTGAAGAGACAGGGAGGAGGAGGAGGATAAAAAAGCAGCTGCTAGGAAGAAAATGGGCAGAGAAGGAATGAAAAGAGACGGGGGGGCAGGGAGAGCGAATTCTTTCACAGCAGCTGTTAGAAGTTGGAGGCATAATTCTTAAATTCCTTATTTGCTTCTAAGCTGTAAAAAGTATCTGAATAACTTTGCTTTATTCTTTCAAACTGCAATACAATTGTTTTCGTCCAGCTCACATTCCAGTCATCTGCTAAGCACTATGCTGTCCTTTAAACTCTTATTCCGCAAAAAAAATAAAAAAATTGCCATATGCTTCAGAGACGTACCGTATTTTTCGCCCTATAAGATGCACTTTTTCCCCTCCAAAAATGAAGGGGAAATGTATGTGCATCCTATGGGGCGAATGCAGGCTTTCGCTGAAGCCTGGAGAGCGAGGGGGTTCGGTGCGCACCGACCCCTCTCGCTCTCCAGGCTTCAGGAAGCTATCCGCTAGCCGTGGGAGACCCTGCTCTCCCACGGCTAGCAGAGACCTTGCTGGCACCCAGAAGCTTGGGGCGCGCTGAGCTCCGCACGCCCCAAGCTTCGGGATTAGCGCAGCGCACCTGGGGGGGAAATAAATTTTTTCCCCCTTTATTTTCCCCCCAAAAAACTAGGTGCGTCCTATGGGCCGGTGCGTCCTATGGGGCGAAAAATACGGTACATAAAAAATTCTAGAAAGTTCTCTTTGGGAATTCCAAAGCACCAGACCATTTCTCTCTCTACCCCTCCCCCCCATGTTCATGAATGCAGTTTGGCTTTAGAACCAAAAAACAAAACAAAACTGAAACATATTCCAGAGGTGTGACAATCCTAATCCAAACAAAGCCCTTAAATAATGGTGGTCCATTTATAGGGCTCATATTCTACTGGTATTAGACTGGTGTTCCTTAAAAATTGAATCCTATACCTGCTAACCTGGGACTAAACAGTATTGAACTCAGTGGGGCATACTTTAGAGTATTCAGGTATAGGATTGCACTTTAGATCCTACCCAGCTTTTTTTTTAAACCCTGGTATTTGTTTATGTCTGTTTAGATCAGGGGTCGGCAACCTAAGGCTCATGGGCCACAAACGGCCCATGGGCGTTGTTTAACCGGCCCCCGAGCCGCCCCCAAACCAAGCCGCCCACTCAGTGAGTCCCCGCGCTCTGCGCTGAACCGGCAAATGCCGGAAATCACGAGCGCGCGCACACACGATCCAGCCCACGGAGGGATCTCTGCTGGAGTGAACTGGCCCAGGCGAGGTAAACCTTGCCAGCCCCTGGTTTAGATAGCTATTGGTCAGGATGTTCAGTTTTCATAAATTCTAGCCAGCTTTTTCTTTTCTTTCTTTTGTTAAGTGTCCTACCTATCCAGATATTTAGAAAATATCCCCATAACATTCCTCAAAGAATCCGTGGTAACCTTAGATACATTTACAGTGACACAGATTGCACAGTTAACACAAGTCTCGCTGTCGTCCTGTGCTACCTTCCTTGAAACCTCCTTCTAGAAAGTATTTCCAGGACACTGTGGTCTCTTCTTTTTCTGGACACTCTCTTGCCTATTGCAAGTGC